TTCTATTCTATTCTATTCTATTCTATTCTATTCTATTCTATTCTATTCTATTCTATTCTATTCTATTCTATTCTACTCTACTCTACTCTACTCTATTCTACTCTACTCTGTCATATTCTACTCTACTCTACTCTACTCTACTCCACTCCACTCCACTCCACTCCACTCCACTCCACTCCACTCCACTTCACTCCATTCCAATTCTATTCTATTCCATTCCACTTCATTCCATTCCATTCTAAAAATCCTTGGCCACCTCCTCCTAATTCACACGGGGGTTTATTATACAGGTAGTCCTCGAATTACAACAGTCTATTTAGTGACCGTTCAAAATTACAACGGCACTGGAAAAAACGTCACAGAGAGCCTCCAGAGCCCAGTGAGGGCGAAAATGCCTCCTCCCCCCCCCCCCCACACACAAACTGTGCTGCAAGAGGCCGACTAGGCCACACCCACCATGGACATGCCCACCCAGCAACCGGTCAGAGAACGGGTTGCTAAAAATTTTGAAGCCCATCCCTGTTCTCAATCTCTGACTGGCTTGCCACGCCCATGCAGCCCAGATGATTTCCGCACCTCATCCACTTGACTCGCTGCGGCTGCCCGAGAAGGTGTGCTGGAAGCCGCGTGCACGAAATTGCCCATTCATCTTTGGTCATGAATAGATACGACCTGGATGTCAATGGAACTAATCTCCAACATACAAGAAGTAAATATAGAAACAAGTCCTTGGGCAGACCATAATCCAATATGGGTCAAATGGCAGGGACAAAAAAAAAAAAATTGAGATGGACTTTGAACAACTCAGTTTTGAAGGAAAAAGAATTTACGCAAAATATGGAAATCGTCCTGTGTTTGAAGCGGCGCAAAGACGCGGGACGCGCGCTCACTTTTTCGGTTCTGCACTCGGCGAACCACTTGTTAAATCATCTGGTCGTTAAGTCGAGAATTACCTGACATGCAGCCACTGTTCTCCATTTCAAGATGGTAGAAAGGTGAGGGCTTGGAAAGCCTTAAGACATGAAAGCCAAAGCTTGTGTTGTTTTGTTGTGCATGTTTGGGTAATAGAAAAGAGAAAACAATTCGCAAGAAACATGTTTTGGGTTGCGTGCTGCATCCTGAAAGTTCACAGAAGCCCTTCGGACAGACGGAATTTGTGTTTCAATTATCTTTTTTTCCCCCCTCCCTTTTCCTCATCAATATAGGTAGCTGTAGCAGTTAGAAATAAAATGTCGGATTGCAATGGGTTACAAGCGAGGATGAATGTGAGCCGACTATGGAGAAGCAAGGACATCAGCCTAGCCACTAAGTGTAGTTTAGTCCACTCTATTATGTTCTCCATAGCATATAGCACATATACCATTTCATAGTGCTTTACAGCCCTTTCTAAGCAGTTTACAGAGTCAGCCTCTTGCCCCCAATAATCTGGGTCCTCATTTTACCCACCTTGGAAAGATGGAAGGATGGTCAATCTTGAGCCAGTCAGGATCGAACTCCTGGCAGTGAGCAGAGTCAGCCTGCATGCCTGGATTCTAATCATTGGGCCACCACAGTGCTGGCTCCTTCCTTCCTTCCTTCCTTCCTTCCTTCCTTCCTTCCTTCCTTCCTTCCTCCCTCCCTCCCTCCCTCCCTCTCTCTCCTTCCCTCTACCCCATCCTTCCCTCCTTCCTTCCTTTCTCCCTCCCCCTTGCTTCTTTCTTTCTTTTCTTTTCTTTTCTTTCTTTC